TAAATTAGGGACGGTAGCGCAGATAGTCCTCGGGTAGCTTTGCACGAAATTCATAACAAACAAACAAACTATATATATATAAAATGGCCATTTCTAACCTTTATTACTGGTATAATTCTCTATGCACCAAAACGCATATTTATTACAAACGAAAATGAGAGTATTTAGGAAAAGTTACCAAGTCTGATGTAAATGTAAACTACTTGCCTGTACCAGGAGCGTAAGCAGGATCAAGGGCATCAATGTCAATGCTAACGTAAACTGGTCCGTCACCCATTTGGTTTTGAATTTCCTTCATCATTGGTACGAGAGACTTGTTCCAACAATCGTCTGCCATCACGACTTTGAATCCCTAATATTACACAGAAAGTCTCAGTGTGATCTGCCAGCGACACTAAGCGTTTAACGTTGAAGGTCTTGTGTTATTAATATAAAAAAAGTGCTACAATTTAAGGGATTGTCACTGAGTTAAAAAGTTTGTGTAAGTAAGAGAGAGCCTATGTTGTATTGGGAAAATTATTCGTTATGATATCAAAAATATATTCTTATAGTGATAACCAAGAAACAGCTAACATCTAAGGTATTCAATGTTTCCTTAAAACTATAATGTTCAAACTAAATAGAGCTATATCCCTCAGTAATATTTTAGTTTAATGAACTAAAATAAGTTGTAAGATATTTCAGAACACATAAAATTGGACAACAGAGAAATAAAATATATAGTTTTTTCATGTGAATAAAATAATATCAACATCAAAAGTCATGTGTTAACATTTCCTTACTTAAGGTATTTTGGTGGCTGACCACGTCGTTACAGGCCATGTTCGATCATATTCCATCTAAAGGCTTAACAATAACCCTGCAGCCAAGGAAGCTTCTAAAATCTATTTTTATTACGTTGCGTAGTGCGTATTATTGCCTGCGGGACGTGTAAGACTTTTGTACCGAACTTTATGTTCGTAGATTTTCACCTGGTCTAAATCTCCGATCTTAACACATATCTATGGCCTGAGTGTATGAGTATTTTGCGTCGGAAAGAACTGCGGTATCATACTACCTAAAAAGCGCCAAATATATCAAAATGTAGTTCTGATACAAGCTGTCTACAATGACTTTATAACCGTTTGCCCCTGAAACAGAAAAGTCCACCTTTCGAAAGCGCTCGGGTTATAGGGTTTTTATTCATTTCTGCCAAGACTCCTTGAACCTTCGTATTTTTCTAACATCATGAACATATTTATATCCGTTGTGATTGGTACATGGCTGATTTTCATATTCAGGATCGTTTTGATATAATGTATTCAACCCTTCAGAAAGACGTACGCACAGGCCATTCAAATAATAAATCTAAATTTTTAGTTTTTCTCACTGAGTAATGAGATGAAATAGAGACTAAAAATGTTTACATCTGTATTTAAAAAAAGATGTGCCTAAAGTTCCTTAACTTACCATAAAAATGTTTACATCTGTATTTAAAAAAAGATGTGCCTAAAGTTCCTTAACTCATCCTAAAAATGTTTACATCTGTATTTAAAAAAAGATGTGCCTAAAGTTCCTTAATTTACCCTCAAAATGTATACATGTTGTTTTTGATATTTTCATGCCGATTTAAAAGCCTTGTTTTTAAACATAGGCACTAAGTCATGTTCCCCAATAAAACAGATGTTATGAACTATTTCACAGCATGATGATGACAAAGCCTTGTCGAAACGTTGTACATTTGCTGTTATGTTAAACTTATATTAAAGTTTTTCTTCATTACCCATTCAAGCCGTCTCCAAGCATTATATTTCACAGCATATTCAACGTAACCAGAGGAGGTACTAGAAGCTACATGCCCCCCCCCCCCTCATTTCGACCCGGTAGCGAAGTTCCCTTTGAGTGAGGAATTGAGACTTGAATAAAAGTATCATGCATAGTCACTGTTTCAGTTTCAAATTCAATGGTCACAGTTCACTTAGAAAATATAGTGCCCCCCCCAAATATGTTCTACCATCTACACTTCACAGTAAGTAAAAAACAAAAGTTAAAAAAAAACATTATTATATAACTGACACTGAATTAAAAGGGTAAATATTGTTTCTGTTACTCAAGTTAGAAGCAACTGTGGTCAATCATAGATGCAAATATAATACAGAAATATAAAAATACCTGATCTACAGAGTACTGATACTTAAACTCGGACTCGCTATACAGAGATCCTCTTAGGCCAATTTGGGCTACTCGCTTACAGTCCAAAAGCCCTTCTTTAACAGCATTTCTGAATGGTGTTCCGTGGTAAATTTTACATCCCAAAGCTTCATCATTAGTGTCTGCATGAGCATCTACGTGGATAAGACCCAGAGGCCCATGTTTTTCCTGGATACATAAAATAGCTTTTTTTCATCCAAAGAGAAAAGTAAACAAAACCCACAAAATTACCCATTGTAAGCTATAGTTTTAAAGTTGTAAGTTACGTGTTAGCTAGTGGATGCTGTAAATCATAATAATGACATTAAATTAAGCTTAAAAAGTTCCAAGTACTTTACATTAGGTTTTATAAATTCTAGTACTTTCAACAGCATCAAAAAAGTTTGTTTGTTTGAAATTAAGCACAAAGCTACACAATGGGCTATCTGTG